AAAGTAATCATTTGAAACGAAGGTTATTATTTTTAATGATTGAAGATAAATCATGTATTAACTTGAATAAGACATATTTAGGACCATAAACAACTTCTTAATCTCTTTAACCTTCATGGACTTGGATATGATTTTGGATTGAATTTTTTAATTTATAATTACACAACATGATTTTAAATTGAATAGTTGTACGCATGATAAATTGATAATACATCATATGATATTCTCCAATTTTATGAGGAGGCAAGGAGATAATTTTGTAACTAAGAGTAAAAGAAACTTTAACATAAATGCGATGGATATTATTATTTTACACCATAAATGTTGTTATCAAATTATAATACTGGGACAACCCTTGGGGTTGAAGAGCGAGTATCAAATAGAGTACCGGATAATTTTGCATAGAGTTTCTCATGAGTTACAGTAAACTGATAAATAATAACATACCCCGCCAATATAGAAAACACTTAATCATAACGTTGAATATGCTTTTAAGTAAACCAAACTTAGGAGGATAACTAAAACAAAAAACATAAAGAGAAAGTCAATAGAGTATCAAATTATCAATTATCAAAATTTGAATGATAAAAGATGACTTGTAAAAAGGAAAACACATATTAAGTTAGCCACAAATGCAAGAACACTTTATGAACAATTGTTCCCCAGCCATTTCACAGTCGATGTATATCTTACTTAATAATTGTAAAATGACACGAAGTAAATTTTGTAAACATTTTTACTTGATTGATATAAGGGCTAATACCACTAGGAAACCCGAACTATTAACTTTGTGTCATTTGTGTCCTAAAGTATTCGATATGACATTTGTATCATGATGTATGGTTGTTGTGTGTCATTTATGTCCTAGCAATTTTGTTGACCGTTAAAGATAACGGTTGACCTAACGGTCATCAGTAAAATGTTGACCGTTGGTTACGTGGCACATATGTGGCGGCCACGTCAGCTGACACATCATATTATTTATGAAAAAAATTAAAAAAAAAAGTAAAAAAAAAATTCTTAACAAAAATCTTCTTCCCCAGCACTTCCACCATCCTCCGCCGAATCCGACCCTTCAAATCCCGACGTTGAATCTGGACGTCGGCGCTGAAGGAATCCCCTGCGACTTTGAGCTCAATCGGAGGAACCACTTTGATCGTTTGCCCAAAATTCGCATCTCCAGAAATTAATGGATCTGAAATTAGGTTTTGAGGTATTCCTCTTCCCACCTCAAAGCCTCTCTCTTCCAGACCCATCTCCCGTTCCCAGCCCACCACCATGGTCGGGGAACTTGACAGCTGCCCACTTCAGCTCGTAACCATTCCCGATCTGGTTCCTGTAGATCTCGTGTACATCCGCCTTAAAATGCTCGATCGGAGTGACAGAGTGAGTTCCACCTCTCATTTATCTGCTCCCTCCCCTGATCTCGATCTCAATGATTAAAGCAGCTAGCTAATCAAAGTTCATCTTTCTTTTCAGATGTTGGGCTACGCCGACGATGAAGGCAGTCGGGGATCCTCGCCGAGATGGGGAAACGAAAGGGGAGATAGAGGACCTTCGTCGTCTCCTAGATCGATTTCGCGACGACCTGTGGGCATTTTCAGCTTGGAATCGCTGTCGCCCCTTCACTTCATCTCGCCTCTGTTGGTGTGATTTAGGAACCCATGTTCTGGTGTGGATTCTCTGTAGGTATAGCTCGACAGATGGTGAAGGTGGTGGATTTGGTGAGTGTGTGTGGGGACTCGAAATTTGACGGCGCCAGATCCGTAGCAAGAGGCTGGAGGAGGAGGTGATGGAGTTGAAGTGGTTGAAGACGAAATCGACAGCGATGGTCGGGTTCGGCGTTCGGTCCCCCGACCCGTCCGCCATGGACTCGACGATTCCCCAGAGCCCCGGCGACGATTCCCCTGCCCCCGGCCAGCAGTTCGCCCAATTCGGAGCTGGGTGCTTCTGGGGAGTCGAATTGGTGTTTCAGAGGGTTTCTGGATTGTCAGATGGTTAGCAGTTCTTGGGGCTCGTTTGTAGAACTAGGTGATGTCTGTTTTTCTTGTTTTTGGTTGCTGTATGTGATCTATGTTAGTGAAAGCTTGTGAGTCCTGGAGGAAAATTGCAGAGGAAGGAGAAAGGGGAGAGGTTGGAGGCGGAGAAGGGGGCCGTGAGAGGTGTGATTTGTTTTTTTTTTAATTTATAATATATAATTTTTTTTATTTGATGGAAAAATAAATAAAAATTAATATTAAAATTCCATGTCAGATGCCACATAAGCGCTGACTAGACTTTCTGTTAAAAACTAACGGTCAACGCTAGTCAACTCTAACGGAAAAATAGTTTAGGACACAAATGTCATATCGAATACTTTAGGACACAAATGACACAAAGTTAATAGTTCGGGTTTCCCAGTGGTATTAGCCTTGATATAAATATATGTGAAGGAAGACTTTAGCTAACACATTTGATTTAATTATTACGTAAGAGGTAATTGTCCTTTCTAATCTCGATGTAAACATTTTCTTCTTCAATTGGTGACATCTCTTATTATCCTTACCAAATTATTAATTTTAATAAACGTGTATCTCCAACTCCGTGTATCTGTTCAAATATGATTTAATTGGGTAGCACAAAATCTGAACCCGAAATATTTTAGTGCTATTGATAAATCCGAATTCGAATATTGCGGATAATGTGTGAATATGGTTTTCTCACTATACAACCCAACCATACTCGATTATACATACGTGTATGTATGTTATGTAGAGATGATTATCATTTTTCTCATTGTATTTTGATATTTACTATATATATAATTTTTTAATGAAATTGTGTTCTCTTTGACTAATTTTTATGTTTTAATAATTTATTATTATACTTTTCATTTATGTAATGCTGGTATACGAATAATTGTTAACATGTTTGTTAAAGTTATGAAAAAAAATTATTACTCAGATAACCTTTAATATTAAATATCCAATTGAATATAGACACACTACAAAAAAAAAGGGCCTATACCAGGGGTTTTTCAGACATATGGCAAGGGTTTTAACCCCTGCTACAAATTGTAGCAAGGGTTTCTTCAACCCCTGCACCAACCCTCGCCTATGCTGCCCCTGCTATGGATAGCAAGGGTTTTTAGTAACCCACGGTGAAAGTACCATCCAGGGGTTGTTGCAAGGGTTAAAACCCCTGCTACACTTCAGTGTAAAACCCAATAGAAATATGTTTGTATCATGGGTTAAAACCCTTGCTAAATTGGTTGCTAAATATATTTTGCAACCAACTCAGAACTGTCGCTAAAGAGAGACTGATGAACTTTTTAACTAGTTCAAAACTCGTCGCTAAAGAGAACCTCTAAGATTAACTTGGTTGCAAATACTCTGGTCATTATAGATAAATCCAGAACCAAGCTTTTTCCTTGCTAATTTTTCTATATATTTCATTCTTGGTAGGCAAATCATACATGACACTATAACCATCAATATTTCATGATTAATTCCACAATTCATGATCCAAGATAATATTGTTTACTTGGTAAAATGCTAAAACCTATATATATTCAACCATAAATGAACCAGAGTTTGGAAATAATGAACGAATCCTCAGCCTTGACCACATCATCATCAAAAAGCTTCTTCAAAATAACTCCCACCTGCAAGAGCAACCCCACAAACACTAGAGATGAAAAACTTATCGCACAACATATTACCAAATTTAGAATTCCATGTTAGTTTTAACTCTTCATAGAGTAGACATAGGCTCTCAGATAATCACACTGGCAAAAACAGAATAACTTAAGCTACATAGGCTACTAATTCTGGACACCATCAATGAAATCCAAAATAATATTGTGGAGATGGGTAAAAAAAAACTATGGTATTATACCTTGAATCAATTTGATAGCTAGCTCAATCAGAGGACCAGTAGGACTGTAGGAGCCCTCCTGAAGCACTCCAACTGCAATAAAAAAAGGGAAGCCCTTTTTTGTTGTTCAATAAACAAAAATTCACAGGATTAGCAAAAACAGTTGATACAACATCTTAAATTAAATGATCAGGGTTATAAGATAAAATGATCAGGTTTAACCCAGGGGATACTAATACTAACCCGTCGGAGGAACACCTGGCAAAATAAGATAAAATTTAGTTGACATATTAATCATCCATTAATCCCTCCTTTAATTTGTCTAGATTTAAAGGAACTCTGCATAAGGTTCAACTCAAGTGATTACTAATCACTGATTATATTATACCTGTTCCCCACTTGGCATGCAACTCCATAATAATGCTCTCTGCCTCTGGAGTGATCTGGCTTCTCTTCAGGTCTGATCTCAAGTAATTAACTCACCTCAGTCTGGATCCCATTCCTCTTCAGTCCTGCTATTTCGACACATTGTATACTAGTAGTAAAGCTAATTAGAAGTCGATGGTATAATACCATTCATAACAAACAAACAAAAATCTATCTATAATGGCTAACAAATACCTGCAAGCATGGAAACAGAGAATTGGTTTCCATAAAAAATCCATAAATTTGCAGGCTTAGAAATCATATTAAGCAGTTCAAATGCTTAAAATATGTGCTTGAGAATCTTCCTCTACTGTACCTTATAAACAAGCCCAGCATTGCTGAGTTTGGTGGAGAAGACAATGGTTTCACAGCACCTTTGAACTCTTCGTCACAAAAACTCGCCCCTTCCTCGATACCTTCCCCATTGTTCTGCTCAGGGATGCCAACTTGTTTATCTTGCACTACTGATTCGCGATAGGAATCTATTTGGGGCTCAAGTTCCTGTGTCATCTCTAGTAAATGCAGCAGCAGTATCACAATTGTCTCCTTCAAATTGTCTGCATCAAGCCAAGCATATGCATGAGAACACATATGTAAATAGCTGCAGTTCTATAAGTACCTCATCATTATTGAAGGGATCAAATCCAGACACTACTTTCACAGTAGCTTTACCAGACTTCTTAGCCAGGACGATCCCTGAAGTTGAAACTGACACAGTAGGAGCATCTGAGGAAGTACCATTTGTAATCAGCTGATGCTTTTGCACAACCTACAGGGTTTCAGAAAATCCATTGACCATTAGACGACTACAGGTAACTTAAAACCTAAGCTAGATAAGGAATCACAAAGGAGACAACCTCCCACAGCCTTCAGCACCACCTCTTGGTAAACTGCAGGAGCCCATGGAAGGTGGACAACTTGAGATCTTGGGTTACCATCCAGAAGAAATTTCACATGATCAGGAACGAAAATTTCTTGCTCAACTTTCAGAACCTATTAGAAATTGTAGCAAACATGGTTAACGGCACAAGAAAGGATACTACTGCATGATTCTAGCAAAGTGAGAAAAGGATAATAAAGTTCAATGAGAGAATGTCATATTTCACCTGCTCTATTTCCAGGTGCCCATGAGAACAAGTCAAAGATGCTGCTAATTTTCCTAGACCCCGAGAGGTTATGTTGATGGCTCTATAATTCCACCAACCATGTTCGACAACAGTGTTCCTTTTGACAAAAAATATTACTACTTCACCATATGAGACCAAATTCCGTTGTGCTGGAAGAAAGCAGCACCTCAAATCAGTCGAATAGCTAACAACTGCAATTTCAAGTGTGTGATACTAGGAATCAACATATTAGAGCAAGAGCTGGGGACGAAATCAAATAATCAACTTTGAAGATATCTAGAAATACAAATTTGAAATCAAAGCTAGAGCTAAGGCAATCTCTTGACTCTCAAACAACCTTCCTCAATCTTATCCTTATTTGTTTTACTGCTACGTGTAAGTGAGGTTAAGAACCATATCCAACTTAACCAATCAATCTAAATTCTTCTTTTTAAAACCATTTTAAGCTGAAATAGCTATACATGCTTATGTTGGCCGATTAACTACACCCAACAGATAACTAGCAGCAGCAGCTCAATTATTGTTGTAAAAGCAGAACGAGCAGAGCAAAGCAATATATGTACCTTCCATTGACAAGTTTTCTTGTGCTCAATAATGTCGACAATCTCAGGATCCACGACTTACAAGGGCGCATTGAGCTGCTTCGGCCACTGCATGACAAAGGGGAAAACAAAAGGCGAGTTAAAACAGCAACACGAGGAAGGACGCCAGCGCTGGGCGGCGTTCCTGTTTACGAAGAAGGAAGCAGTGAGCGGAGGCAGAGGAGCAGCGTGGTCATATGTAGTGAGGAAACGTCGCTTTTGGCGATGTAATATGGATGTGAAGGAGTAATCAGCGACGAAGACGAAGATTTATCAGAAGCTGTCACCATTGAAGAGGAATTAGGGTTTCAAATCGCCAGTCTTCTACCAAAGCGATGGAGATCGTTCTTCAAGTGGTTCAAGCGAGTTACAGAGATGAAGGAATCGGAAAAGAGAATTTAGATCAAGAGATTGATCGTTCTTCGAAGAGATTGATCGGACCTTAGAGAAGCAAATAATCGAAGATGTCGACCGATCGCAACAGAGAGAGCATAAAACGAGGCATGGAGTTGGAAGCTCGAAATTGAAAGAGGCCATATTGGACGGATCGGGAATAGAATCGCCAAATCGGGACGGTACCTAATGTCCAAATAAGTGCTCAAAGTACATAAATATTACACAATCAACCCTATAAAATATGTCATCCAAATTCTTAGATCTTCATTTTCGGAAAACATTCAGATCGGAGAATGAAACAGTGAATGACAATTAGTTAAGAGTCTAGCAAGGGTTTACAAACCATATCCAGTTCTTTGGTTGGCACACACCCGAGGACCTCTTTGGTCTGGGTCAGGAAATTTGGACCTTTGCCCAAGCCCATTCCTGTGTCAGTTCAGGCTCTTTCCAACGGCCCAGTTCCTTTAGCCCCAGCAGAGTCCGATTATTCGGGCCCTATTATCCCAGCTTCTAAACCCATCCCCAAAACTCACCCATTCCCCACTAGGCCCTCAATTTTGTTCTCCTGTAATGGTCTGTTACTATCCATTTGGAACCATTCCTTTGTCTTCTCTTTGAATCCATTACCCCCTGCGTTCCCAAACCATCCTTTCTCCTCCCTTCTGCTCTTTTCCCCACCTGAGTTTGCCGAGAGACCTTTGACCTCTTACCTTCCTTCTTCATCTACACACAATTCCCCACTAGAGTTGATTAACCCCTCCCAAATCCCCACCTCTACCTCTGACCTTTCTCCTGTTTTCTCCTCTGGCCCGTTGGAGGATTGCTTGTCTCCTAGCTTGGACGAGAGTTGTCCGCTCTATCAAAGTGACCTGCCTTCGGCCGAAAACCAGTTGGCAATCGTCGAATTTCAGCCTCTGAACGAGGATTTGGGTAGATCTTGGAGAGCCGAACAAGACCTCAAGCGTATCTTGGAGGCGGGCAGAACTTTAAATCAGATTCTTAAAATCACTTCGGATACTGCGGATGGCGATGCGATGCGCCAATTTGAAGAGCTGGCAGAAACAAAGAAAGGAAGGAAGAAGAAAGAGCATAGATCGAGGCTTCAAATGGAATTGCATAGGCTGGGTGCGCAACCTGACTGTCCCCTGAACCCGAGGATGGCTAGGAGGTCGAGCCAGGGTTATGCTAATCCCAGCTCGCTCGGTTCGGATAGCTAGAGGTTTGGTTCCCGTTTGTTTGGTGTGCCATTTCTTATATATGTCATCATCTATTTTAGCTTGGAATGTTAGAGGGTTGGGTGACCCAGCTAAGAGAGCCAGAATCAAGGCCATCCTTAGAAGATTTCGGGTTTCTGTGGTTGGGTTGATTGAGACGAAATGGAGTTCTTGCTCGCAGTTTTTGATTTCTTCGGTTAGCGGTAGTAGGAGCTCTGTTTGGGAGGCTAAAAATGCTGTTGACTCACGCGGAGGAATTGCAATATTTTGGGATGGTAGTGAATTCGAGCGTATTGATAGTTGGGAAGGCAGGTTCTCTCTAGCTGTTCGTCTGAAGTCTATGCGAAGTAATGAGGTCCTGGCTATTGTCATGGTTTACGGTCCCCATGAGAGGACTGAAAAATTATCTTTCTTGCAGGAACTGGATATGGTTTGTCGAATCTATAATGCCCCGCTGTGCATTATGGGGGATTTCAATTTGGTTAGGTCTGAGGATGATTACAGGGGTGCGCCTCGCTGCAAGGACATGATGGCCGAGTTTAACTCGTTCATCAATAACAATGAGTTGTTTGATCTCCCGCTCTCTGGTGCTGCCTATACTAGAAGTGGTGGCGGGGTCAACGCCTCACTCTCTCGGATCGATAGAGTGCTTGTTAATACCAGTTTTGAAGAAACCTTTTCCCCGGGTCCGGTTCAAGTGTTCGAGCGGGTCGAATCTGACCATAACCCGATTGTTTTGAAATGGGGAGATGAAGATCGGGTTCATAGACCATGGCGCTTCGAGAATATGTGGTTGATGGAAGAATCTTTCTTGCAGAAAGTAGTGGGGTGGTGGGGTGTTCCAGTTCAAGGATCGGGTCTGCTCTTTCGTGCTGGACAGCGACTTAGAAATACTAAGCAACTTATCAAAATCTGGAATGTGGAGGTCTTTGGTAGAGTTCAACAGAGGATCGAAGATTACATCAGAAAAATCAAAGCAATTGATGATGAGGAAGAGAGAGGTCCGATTTCTACTAACCTCATCAACGAGAGACGTCTGCTGAACTGTGATCTGGACAAAACTTTGTTGATGGAGGAGATTTCTTGGAGACAGAAATCACGGGAAGTGTGGATTAAGTATGGGGATCAGAATTCAGCCTATTTCCACCGTATTGCTAATGCCAATGGCAGGAGGAACAAGGTAACTCAATTACAGGTTGATGGGACTACTGTTCGAGGCAAAGAGGATATCAAACAAGCTATCATTGGTCACTTCCAACTCAGATTCAAGGAGGACAATACCAGCAGGCCTTTTTTAAGGGATTTTAAAAAGAACTTATTGAATGTTGAAGATAATTATATTCTTTCGGCACCGTTCGGTGAAGCGGAAATCTGGAATGCAGTTTGCTCTTGTGGCAGGGACAAGGCGCCAGGACCCGATGGTTTTACTCTGGAATTCTTCAAAAAAGCGTGGAATGTCATCAAGGGAGATGTGATCAAGGCAGTGGATGAGTTTTATTTGCTGGGTTTCGTTCCGGATTCCATAGGCCACTCCTTCATCTGTTTGATTCCGAAAAAGGAGGTTGTGGAAGAGGTTAAAGATTTTCGTCCCATTAGCCTTATTGGTAGCCTGAACAAGATTATTTCGAAGCTTCTCTTCAATCGTTTACAACCGTTTATGGATAGGGTCATCTCTTCAAAACAGTTTGCGGGAATCAAGAGAAGACAAATTCATGAGGCTGGTCTCATTGCAAATGAACTGGTGGATAGTCGCAAAAGAAGTGGGCGCTCGGGCATTATTTTTAAACTAGATATTGAGAAAGCATTCGATACAGTAAGCTGGGGATGTCTGTTTAAAGTTCTGCAGAATATGGGACTTTGTTCGAGATTCCAGAAATGGTTGAAGGGGGTGGTTACTTCTACTAAACTTTCAGTCCTGATCAACGGAGAAGCTGCTGGGTATTTTGATCGACAGCGGGGGCTTAAGCAAGGTGATTCTCTATCACCGTTCTTGTTTAACTTGGTCATGGACATCTTTTCTTTTATCATGGATCAGGCTCAAGAGGCAGGACTCATAAGAGGCTTTTTTATGGACAACTACAATGAGATGGGGGAGATGAATCACCTGTTATATGCTGACGATGCGATCGTGTTCTGCGATGCATCGGAGGATGCAGCTATTAATCTTACGGCTGCCCTGATTTGGTTCCAAAGTATTACCGGTCTGAAGGTTAATTTTGAAAAAAGTAAAATCTGTCCGGTTGGAGATGTGGACAACATTGATCGAATTGCTGAGATTTTAGGCTGTGATTGGAGTTTCCTATACACTGAATATCTGGGTTTCCCGCTTGGAGCCTCCCCTTCTTCGGTCCCAGTTTGGAACAAAGTTATAAATAGGGTAGAGTGTTGCCTAGCTGGTTGGAAAAGGAACTATCTCTCACTCGGGGGCAGAATTACTCTATGCAAGGCAGTGTTATCTAGTCAGCCCATTCATATGTTCAGTTTATTTAGGGCCCCGGTTTCGGTCATTAATCGTCTTGAGAAGGTGCAGCGTGACTTTATTTGGTCGGGTTCTCTTGGTGTCGGGAAATCTCATCTGGTTGCCTGGGATGTTTGTAAAGGGCCTAAGAAACTTGGCGGACTTGGTATTGCCGACCTCAAGTTAAGAAATCAGGCACTTCTATGTAAATGGTGGTGGAGATTTGCTCTTGAAAGAGGAGCTCAGTGGCGAGAACTTATTAGCCTTAAGTACCCAAATTCTCGGTCTGAGTGGATGTCAGGTCCGGCTAATGGCCCTGCCGGCACTAGTCCGTGGACACAAATCCTAAAGCTGGGGGATGTGTTTTGGAAATTCGCTCGGGTCGAACCAGGTTCTGGGATTGGAACGTCCTTCTGGCATGATGTGTGGTTCCACGGTCGAGCTCTTGCCCGGGACTTTCCGCGGGTGGCTGCTGCATCTGCTTCGCCGGAC